TATAGCTTCCTTCACTTCTATGGAGAGAATAATCCATACTAAATTACGTTTGCCTCAAAATATTACCTTATGTTCAATCTGATTATCCCAATAAAGTTTTGTCTCCTTAGTCCTAAGGGCAGGGAAAATCATTTACATTACGCTTTTAGATGCTGTTAACTAGTGTATCACCCCTGAACCTCCACTTAATTTAGGTAGTTATATTTTAGCATGCAAATCAGTATTTTCCCATAGAAATGTTCCAAAAATAATATATCTCCTTTTTTTCTTCTCCCACAACTGTCTTCCATAAGACCTTTCTTGTTGTTAGTTCAGAATAGAACATTTAATGACAAAAGTTTAAATAAAATAATCTGATCATGTGGGAATTGAAAAATATTCTCCTTAAATACTCCTGGGTCAAAGAAGCAATAAAAAAAAAATGCAGTTATAGACTCTTCTAGAAAGGACGAAGAACAAGAATACTGCAAATAAAACCCATAAGGTGCAGCCAAAGATTTACTTGGAGGAAAATGATTGGACTTTAAGACTTGTTATTAAACAAAAAGAATGACAATGAATGAGCTGACTCGAACCTGAGAGTTCAGAAAGGAACAAAGAAACAAACAAAGACACATGATATACCAAGGAAAGCTGAAATATTATTAACAAAGGAGCAGAAATTAAACAATTAGAAAAGAGAAAAATTAGTAAATTTGTAGATCCAAGACTTGTTACTTTGAAGAAAACCCTTTGCCTATCTAATCACAAGAAAGTTAAAACATAGTTCACAATTTAGGAATGAGAGAAAGGTTAAAGGGGGAGGGATTCACCCACAGATAGGAATTAAAAATGTCTAAGAATTTGAAAACCAGCGATTAGAAGATAATTTGTAAAGACAATAGATGTCAAAATGAGATTTAGTAAAAAATGGTAACATTGAAGGGAAGCTGGCTGGCTCAGTCGGTAAAACGTGTGACGCTTGAAATTGGGGTTGTGAAGCCCCACGTTGGGTGTAAAGATTACTTAAAAAAATAAAATCTTTTGGGGCACCTGGGTGGCTCAGTTGTTAAGTGTCTGCCTTCGGCTCAGGTCATGATCCCAGGGTCCTGGGATCGAGCCCCGCATTGGGCTCCCTGCTCGGGGGGAAGCCTGCTTCTCCCTCTCCCACTCTCCCTGCTTGTGTTCCCTCTCTCGCTGTGTCTCTCTCTGTCAAATAAATAAATAAATAAAATCTTTTAAAAAAGATAAAATCTTTTTAAAAAATGGTAACATTGAGTAGATATATAACCACATAAGAAATGGAAAGAATTATTAAATAATTAATTCTGTATAAAGAAGTACCTTTTTTGTATTTTTTTGTTTCAAAAAATGTGTATGATGAAATCTTTCTAATTAATGTCATCATAATCGTGATGAATTCACCTGATAAAAGTAGAACAAATAGGCTGGTACATGTCAGTCTCTCTTAAAAGTATAGATGCAAAAACAAAACAGAAAACAAAACAGTTATAGCTGGTAAAATACAAGAAATATTAAAACACCAATCCTGAGAATCCAAGACTTGTTTAAAGATTAAGAAATCTATTGCTATTGTAATGTAGGACTAAAGTAAAAAAGCAAATATTCATCCAAATACATATTTTAAAAAACACAGTGTTCATTCCTGATTTTTAAAAATCAAAATTCTTAGTGAATGAAGAATAGGTCACTTCCACAATGTGATAACAAAACATCAACATCAAACTCAATGGTGAAATATTGGAAGTGTTCCCATTAAAAATAGAGGTACACATGAAAAGATGCTCAACATCATTAATCATCGGAGAAATGCAAAGCAAAATCATAGTGAGATACTATCTTACACCTACTAGGATGGCTGTAATCAGAAAGAGAGAGCATAAAAAGTGTTCTCAAAGATATGGAAAAATTAGAACTTCATACATTGGTAGTAGGATTGTTAAATGGTACAACCGCTTTGGAAAATAATGTGGAAGTTCCTTACAATGTTAAACAGAGTTAGCATATGACACAGCATTTCCATTCCTGGATGTATGTGTGTGTATATGTATATACCCAAGAGAAATGAAAACAAATGTCCTCACAACAGCTTGCACAAGAACGTTCATAGCAGCATTATTCATAATAGCCAAAATTCTTAATCTCAGGAAACAAACTGAGAGTTGCTGGAGAGGTGGGGGGTGGGAGGGATGGGGTGGCTGGGTGGTAGACATTGGGGAGGGTATGTGCTATGGTGAGCGCAGTGAATTGTGCAAGACTGATGAATCACAGACCTGTACCTCTGAAACAACTAATACATTATATGTTAAAAAAAAAAAAAAGAAGATAGTAAGAAGGGAAAAATGAAGGGGGGCGGAAATCAGAGGGGGAGACAAACCATGAGAGACGATGGACTCTGAGAAACAAACTGAGGGTTCTAGAGGGGAGGGGGGTGGGGGGATGGGCTGGCCTGGTGATGGGTATTAAAGAGGATACGTACTGAATGGAGCACTGGGTGTTATATGCAAACAATGAATCATGGAACACTACATCAAAAACTAATGAGGTAATGTATGGTGATTAACATAACATAATAAAATAAAAAACAATGTAAAATTTAAAAAAAAAGTAGAAACAACCCCAATGTCCATCCACTGACAAATGGATACATAAAATGTGATGTATCTATATCTTTATAATGGAATATTATTGGCAATACAAGGCAATGAAGTACTGACACATTGTACAGATGGATCAACTTGGATTGAAACATGGGTTGAAAACATGAGGCTGAATGAAGGAAGCCAGTCACAAAGTACGACATATTGTAGGAGCCCCTTTATATGAAATGTCCAGAATAGGCAAATCCACTGAGAAGAAGTACACTGACGGTTGCCTAGTGCTGAGGTGGTTGGGGAAGAAGTGAAGAGTGAATGCTAATGGGTTCAGGGTTTCTTTGAGGGGCGAAGAAAATGTTTTAAAATTGATCGTGGTGATGGATGCATGAGGATGGTATGCACAATGCTGTGGATATGCTAAAAACCAGTGTAGCACACTTTAAGTGGGTGGGTATCTCAATAAAGATGTTATTAAAAAAAGAAACAAATGAAAATGTGCATGAATGCTGTTGCTGGTATTCACAGCAATCTGCCAGTAAACAAGGAGAGGAAAAGATGTATGAATACTGGAAAAGAAGAAACAGATTATTACAGAAAATATTCCTATCAGAGTGTCCAAGAGACCTCACTGAGAAAATTAGTAGAGGCAGTAAAAGAGTTTGGTAAAGAAGAAATTATAAAACACACAAATAAAAATTCGGCTGTAGGCTCTTCTCCTTACTGATAGAGTTCTTATGAGTACATAAGAAATGATGATCATCTAGTAGGAAAATAAACCAGCGACATGAAGGCCATTTACAAGAGACACAGTGGTGAATAACGATATGAAAGGAACATATCCGTAATGAAGGAAATACTTTTTAAAACTATGAGTTAATAGGTTAAGAGCCTCCTGTTGAATGAGCATCTTTTTTTTTTTTTTTAAGATTTTATTTATTTATTTGAGAGAGAGAATGAGATAGAGAGAGCATGAGAGGGGGGAGGGTCAGAGGGAGAAGCAGACTCCCCGCTGAGCAGGGAGCCCGATGCGGGACTCGATCCCGGGACTCCAGGATCATGACCTGAGCCGAAGGCAGTCACCCAACCAACTGAGCCACCCAGGCGCCCGAATGAGCATCTTTTAGGTAGACATTCACAGGGCCTCAGGAATAATACAACCATCTCAGACTAAGTCGTATGAATAAAAACATATTTTAAATACCACATTTTTTATTTACCTCATCAGATCCCTGAAAATTGGGCAGAAGTGGGATGGGACCGTCCAGTGCTCTTCTCAGAAGGCTGCTTTGGTTCTAGGGCTCAGAGAAGACAAAGGCAACATAATGTCTTGAGTGCTGTTTGACCTTGGTGTCCTGAGGGGCACTCATTAGGTCTGCTCTCCTCCAAGGTTTTCCCTAGAGCAGGGGGGATGCCCTGTGCTCTCCAAATACATCAGGGCCACAACTTCCATATTAGACTGAAGATTGGAGCAAATGTGGTTCACTAGTCCCTGAAGCTTCCTCGGGGAAGCGAGCAGCCCTCTTGGCTTGAGAGGTGAGGGTCGAGCCAGCGTCTGTCTGTAGATGGTTGATCCTCAGTGAGAGCAGTGCCAAGCCCACCATCATTATAGGAGTGTTCCTCTGGTCACTGTGGTGGCCCTGCCTTGTTAGAGTCATAGTTCCCTCAGTTTCCACTTGCCCTGAAGAGATGATCTTAGAATGTCCATTATATTTTATATTGGACTGATCCCAATCCACATATCCTTGAAACTGCTCTGCCTATAAGAGAGGTATGCTTGATGAAAATTGTTTCCAGAGATCTCTCTTAACCATTCCAAGGTCAGTGGTGAAAATTCCACTTATTAGAGAGATTTTATTATAAATGAATGTGAGCATTTTAATTTGGTAGGTGTTCCTTGTAAACACGCAGAACATTTCTCTGATACTTTTTGCTCTCATATATTTCCTGCTAGTTTATGTGGAAGCAAACTGCCTTAAGGCTGTTTCTACTACCGAGAAATACATAGATATAATATTGTCCTTTTAATAGGCATAATTCATACATGGTTATTGTAAAAACTCAGAACTATGATGCATACACTTCCTGCCTTCCATTGGAATTGTATAATTACAGTGAAATAAAAATGCTGACTTATTTAAAATACAAAGAGGGCATTCTTAAAGAATATGGTCTATAAAATTTTGTGGTACATTTAAAATGATATTTTAAGTAATTGGTGAATTTTTATCTTTTGATCTACAGAGTCACATACTGAGATCTAATTAAGAGGATGAGTTTTAGGTTTTCTTATTGGGAGAATCCTCAAAATTATATTTTGGATTAAATATAAGATTACCTACTTACTATTTATTTTTATGAGTAGTCTTTTGCTTTATGATAACTCTGTCAAACTGATTTCTCTAGGTCGAAAATGTCCGCTTGGTAGATCGAATATCTTCTAAAAAAGCGGCCCTAGGTACTTTGTATTTGACGGCAACTCATGTCATATTTGTGGAAAACGCACCTGACACAAGAAAAGAAACATGGGTATGCATTCCTTATTTTTGGCTTTATACATTTTCTGTTGTTTTGAGTAACAAGTTTTGACCCTGTGGTTGGGCTTTTTGATATTTGGGTGTTCAGAGGACTGTTTTTGGAGGGTCAGCTTCGCGTTCTTTTGCACAGAGTCAAATCCCCTTGATCTACTTATTCATTTTAAACACTAATTATTTAAACATCATCAAAGATAGGCCTAGAAATAGAGATGTAAATGCTTCATGGTACAGCTGTCAAGCAGAGATTCGAGAACATCAGTGCCCGGTATAGCACTTAGCTAGGGCCTTATTTGCAATACATTGTATTTGTAGGATCCAGTAATGCAGACCGTTTAGTTATTATGTTGTCTTCACTTTTCTGATAATTTGAAAACGGAGGAAAGCAAAGCTAGGGAAGAGTCCGAATGTCAGATATTTCTGCTACTTAGTAATGAGACCATTGGATACATCTTATTTTATATAGCCATCCAACTCCCGACACTCTGACTAGAATCAGAATCCCTGAATTGTAGATTTTTCCCTTTTCTGTATTCTGTGGACATTGTTACATTTTCAGCGGAAGGTGGCAGGCATTATTGTGTGGAGAGAAATAGTGACAGATGGTGACTACACTTGGGAGCATAGCATAATGTATAGAGTTGATGAGTCAGTATATTGTACACCTGAAACTGATGTAACAGTGTGTGTCAACAATATCTACATAACAAAAGATAACAAATGTTCCCATTGACTGAGCAGAAACCTACCCCCCACCACACACTGAAGCACCAGAGAGATGCACTTCAGCCTGATTTTCTTTAACATAAATCTCTTCTCCAGCCTGCCTGACTACCAGCAGCTTAGAAAACAACAGTCTCAAGTTGCTATTGAACTTGAGCATCCCATGTGGAATTAAGGAGCATGGTGGCACCTCCCTGTGGAGCCATCTCTAACTTTTGTTGATTGCGAGGTTTATTTTACTAACTTCTCATGACCTTATTTAATCTTAGCTATTAAGTGCGTTCACCATTTGACTACCAAAATGTTCCCTTACCTGGACTTGTACAAAATTGTATGCTGAATAGTTGGCTCTAAATAATTAGCGTGGCTATCAGAAGACTTGGTAATGAAAAATAAAATGACAAACTTAGATGGCTCTTTCCCGGAACATTGGTTCTTGTTGTCTGAGTGCAGGTGTTGAGCTAGCTAAAGGCCGGGGGGGGGGGGGGGGGGGAGGGGGAAGTGTTTCTTGTCCGTGTTCCTTCGGAGATCTGGGTTGTGCTTGTCTCATTTATCAGTTATCAGTGCTTAGCTTCTCCGCATGACTTTTGGTTGTAGATTCTTCACAGTCAGATTTCCACCATTGAAAAACAGGCAACAACTGCTACCGGGAGCCCTCTGCTTATTCGCTGCAAGAACTTCCAGCTGTTACAGCTCATCATCCCGCAGGAACGAGACTGCCATGATGTGTACATCTCTCTGATACGCCTTGCGAGGCCAGGTAGGGCAGAGGAACTCAGCATTGTGTACGTCGCACCCTGAGGTTCACAAATCGTGTTCAAGAAATATGCATAGCTTAAGAATTATGGTGTTTTAGGAATTATATGTTTTCCCAAGTCCTCCAATGAGGCCAAGAATTCTGAATGATTCATTGCCTTTTAGGGGCTCTCCCTAAGTTGTTCACTATACGAACCTCTTTCATTATTCTTAGTATTCACTTTGTCTTGGGTGGGGGGGGAGGGTTTATAGCTGTTCCTTTTGGAGTGAACTCGTATTAAAATCATGCCCTTCCCATACAATGATTATTGAAGCCTAAGATAAAACTGACAAATTGTTTTGTGTGGAAAACATTAATATCAAACAGCTTAAGGGTACTTCCCCCTCTTGGGGCTTTTAAGGTTTGGTTTTTTATTGCTTTGTGATGGTGATAGAGGTTTCCCAAGGTTGGTATAACCAGACGTTTGTTAGCATCAGTTGTATTCACAGTGTGGATCTGTTGGTTCTCCTAAACAAAACCTTCTTAAGTGTCGTGGGAAGAATGTTTAGTTGATTTGAAAAATAGATGCTGTCAGTTTCTCTTCTGTTCTATCCCTCGGCTTGGGGTCTTCCAATTTATGGCTTCCTGGGCACTTCTAGAGAAGCGTTTCTTGTCTCTCTGTGTGGCTTGTATGGGTTGCGGTGTCCTTTTGCTTAAAAGAAATAGACATCTGAGTTTCTGGGGAGAATTCAGTAAAAATAAATCTTTTATATAAGAGTAATCTCCATGGTAGTGTTATACCAAAATTGCTGACAAGGGAGATGGAATATATCTTTATAGTTACTGTGCTAAATGCTTTTTGATTCAGGACAAGAAGTTTGGTTGTAACGTCTGCAAGGGGCTTGGCTGGGTCCTCCATTTCATATGGTGTGACCGTATCATCTGCAGATAGCGAAGAACTCAAGTTATTTCTTGAAAATGATGCTAGGGAGCTGTCAAAACCTGATAGTTTTGACTTGACTTTGCTCCCCTTTCAAAGCAGTTGGTGGAGGATTTTTCATCTCCGTGTGTTGCACAGAAATGCAAAGTTAGCCAGAAAAGCAGTTGAACTTTTTAGAGGGTGCACTATAATTGGAACAGAAGTTCTGGGAAGATGTGTGTTAGGTTGCGTGCAACAGCGAATGCGAGGAGAACTGTGTATCAGCAATTTCTGTATCACTGATTAATGGCTGGGCTGTGTAATAAATGTGCTCTGACCGGACTAATAGGATTTAGGAATAGCCCAGAGAACTGGGAAAGAGCTGAGTGGCTGGAAGGGCAGATCACAGTGAACGTGAGGGCTGTGGCTGGTGCTGACAGTCATTGCAAGGGTCCCCATGGAGGAAAATCTCTGTGTTCCTCACTTTTTTTAAAACTCCCACTTTTTCTTAAAGGTGACGTTTGGGAGGTAGGTATTAGACATAGCCAGAGAGCCAAAAAGGAAATCATAGTAATGAATTGAATTAAGTTTATTACCTTAGAAGATTTTTAGAAAGCCACCAGCATTTTGAAACCCTGGTATTAGAAATGTCAGTTTACATAAAACACAGTACTTTAATAAGTGTGGGAAGATGAAATGGAACCCAGACAGTTTCACAGTTTAATGTTAGAGGCAATGCTAAAATTAGGATCTGTTACAGCCTACAACCTTGGAAGCAGGCTTTTGAATCTGGGTGGAGGTAGAGAAAGGTGGAGGGGGTCCCAGCTGGGAATAGGGGTGGCTTATCAGAGCCATCTGAAGATCTTTTACAAAATATACCTCCCCCCTCCTCTGGGTCTATCAGAGTGTGTGTGTGTGTGTGTGTGTGTGTGTGTGTGTGTGTTAGCACGATACAGCTCTCTGTGGTTGCTCTGGTTTGTCACCAACACGAATCACCTATTTTCAGTACCTTTAGAGATATAGCTAAGTTTCAAGGTCCTGTAGAGGACAGATTTTCTTATTTTATTATGTACAAAAGAAGAAATGCTTGGGAGTCCATTTAAGTCAAGTCCTATGAAGGAGATTTTCAGAACTCTTGAGATTCTCTCTTCACTGAATTAGGATTTCTAGGATAAGGGTACATCAAACTACTAAAACATTTAGCGAGATTTTATTGGTTGGTCTTTGGTGTGAATTCAGATTGGTAAGAATGAAAAATTAAAGTAGCCAAAGTCAGTAAGCTCTTTAATTCTTAATAAAGAATAATTTAGGTTAAAGTAAAACTTTGGCCCCAATGAGAAATAGATCCAGTGTACTAATAAGGATATACATTTTTCTGATGAAAAGACCCCTATTTCTCAGAGAGCTTCCATTTTTCCCATGTGCATTCTCCTCCCTCTGATTTGGCTTCTGCTGTTTATTTTTCTATCAATTATCTTTCCCTCTGTAGTGTTCCTGGACCCTTCAACATTTAAACCATCTTTGTTTATTTTCCCATTTTTTCTAAATGATAGTTTTTTTTTTTTCAGTTCTTCTTAGTCCCCAGTTCTTCTGCACACATATTATGATTTTACAAATCTTGTGATTGACATCATCTCATTTGCTCAATTTCACTTTTTGGGGGGGCGGGGCTTAATTTCACTTTTGATACCCTTGTCTGTCATGGCTGCTTATGTAGTGTCTGCAGTGGTAATTTGCTTTTTATTGACGATACTGATCTCTGAGTCCAGAAGTCCTTTTCCACAGCCCTGGTGTTTCATTCAAACACTTACTTGTTGAAAATAGACAGCAGACGTCTCCTTATTTTTATTCTAAATCTGCAAAGTCCAGTAATAACCAGGCTGTCTTCTTAACCTTGTTTCACTGGTTTTTCAGCTCTGCTATTTTAGATTGCCTGAATTAAGCAGAAGGTTGGGAGCAGCTGAGCTTTCAATTGTTACTTTTGGTTCTAATAAACTCCACATATGTGTGTCCGCCTGATGACTGCCGGTCACTTTTCCCTTCCTAGACCCACCTCCTCATTCTGCGAATGCCCATTTGTGTTTGTTCTTTCCTTTGGAGTTTTAAAAAATTTGCACAAGGGAAACAATCAGTAAAATAACTGTATTATTCAGGTTTTACATTGGTCATTGCAAGTTTTTCTTTTTAAAGTATTTTTTTTTATTATACTATTGTTACCTTTTGTTTCTCCCAATTAGTCTATCACGGTAATTCCTACCCTATTTTTTTTTTCCAAAATATTCTGTTTACATAACCAGTTAGCCTGATACCTGGGAAACAAACCAGGTTGTTTTTCTTTTTTCTCCAATTGCTTTGTCTTGCCCACAGCTGCCTTATCTGGTGGAGTGAACACCCTTTCCTTTTTTACAGGAGAGAAGGGGTGGGGGTGTAGAGACGGGGCCATTTGGAGGCTGGGTGGTTCCAAGTTGAAAATTGCCACGTGATGGCATAAATACCCCCCCCAGGGAGTAGGAAGTGGGATTGCCCGAGAGCCAAGGCTTTGATGAGAGCAGTAGGTATGGACCCCGTCGCAGTGCCGAGGGCTTCCCTGTGTTAAGGAGTCCAGCTGAACAGTAGTGCTTAAGGAATGCCAAGTCAGTCAACACATGCATCTCTTAGGCCATCTCCTGAGTCCCGAAACGCTGATTTGGCTTTCCTAGAAACGTACCCAAAATGCTATCCATTCTTCTTCTTCTTTTTTTTTTTTTTTTAAATGCTATCCATTCTTAATTTAAGGCAGTATTTTAGAAATTGTTCTTTTTCTTTCTGGATAGAAAAACCTTCAAGTCTGCCTTTGCTTGGCAGTTGTAAGATTTAAATAGGTAAATAAAGTAAATACTAGAATGATTTCTGCATAACTTTTTCTGAAAAACCTTTTTTTTTTTTTTTTTTTAGATTGGAGGTGCACATTCAGCTTACTCCCACAGTGCAAAGGCATGTGGGGTATTTGCTTCTTACGGAAAGAGCTCTGGAGGAGAGCCCTTTGGTGCACCTCCTGTTGAACCCTGCTCTCACTAATAGCAAAAGACATTTGAGGTTGGGTGTGATGGCTCAGACTCCGTGGGGTGAGAAGCCAGTGGAGTATTTAACCTGTCTGTTTTAAGAGATGAGGGTGAGGAATCAGGGATCTGACCTTTCTGAAGGAGACGTATTCTCCATTCAGATTCTGTAAAGACTAGAGATTTCTTTAGCCCTACTTTTGGTGTGGTTTTTAACTCACCTCCTTGTGATTACTAAGAATTCTGCTACGTATTTTGCAGGAGATGGAGGTGAGAGGAACAGAACATTGTGAATGGGAAATATTCAGTGAAATTTACATCTGTGTTAATGGTACTTTTTAATTTCTCAGAGTAGGCAGTCATCCACTGAAGGCTTCCCCTGGGCTGGCCTTTGGGTAAGAAGCTTGCCTATGTTAATAAGACTGAGTATTGGCTGACAAAAATGTGGGTTTCTTTGCCCTTGTGTAGAATTTTACTTAAATTGGGCTAGAGCTATGGTTGATCACCCTTTTGCTTAAAAATAACTAAAAGAAAACATTTCACAGTTTTAGTGGCAACCAATCCTAATGCCTCCCAGTTCAAGAATGATCTTCTTAATATCTGCTATAAACTGTTCTTGCTTTAATTTCTGTTCTGTGTGCTTGCCTCCTCCCAATGACAGCAGGCGTAAGCCCATACAAAGAAAACTATCCATAGTTCTAGAATGGTTTTCTCCTTCTACCTTTAAACCTAGTTGTAACTACTCGACAAAGGGAACTTAACGTCCATTATTAACCCCGTGTTCATAAGCTCTTCTTTCACTGAGGGACTGAGGCTTTCTCAAGAGATTCTTTTGGCCTCTTAACCAAATTGCATTTGCGGTTAACGTTATGGTAGCAGAGGTCTGAGTCATGAAATGGTACTGAGGGATGGAAAAGATGTGTCAGTGTCCAGCCGATGGTTCCCAGAACAGGATCTCAATTTCGTAGTCTTCCTGCTCCAGTAGCTAAGATTATAAGAGACAGTTCCTACTGAGAGCGTCGACTTCATGTTTGTGTGTACAGATATCTGTGGGCGTGCGCTTTCTTATTGGTTGAAATTGTCAGTGTCTCAAAGCTTGAAGTTTAGAAATATATCAGGAGAAACTGAAATAGAACATAGTTTATCTAACTGATAAACTTACTTTTGCTTCTTTCCTACAAGAAAGAGTGCATGTCTAATGAAAAAATCTGGTCCTTAAAATATGATCCTTATCTTTCTTCCTCCTTGTAGATGAGTTACTTCCATGGTAATCACAACAAGCCTGAAACTGAGGTTAGCTCTCAGGCTGCCTGTGTGTTTCTGTGGCCTTTTGCTGACGGTGAGATCCTTTCTTGGGCCTCCAGACACATGTGGAAGAGCCATTAAATTAACCACATCTGAATGTCATCAACAGATTAAGGAATAAATGGGGGGACCTAAGAAAATTGAGGAGAAAGAAACCTATTGGAGAAAAAGAAGATGATTCAGGGGATGGAACAAGGAAGGAGAAGACACAAAAGTGGTCCGTCTGGGGAGAAGGATCTGCCTTAGAGGGGCAATGCGTGTGATTAGGAGCATGCACTCTATAGCCAGATTGCCTAATTTAAATCCAGAGTCTCCACTTACTAGCCCTGTGGCCCTGGCGATATTCCTTGACCTACCTTTGCCTCAGATTTCTCATCTGTAAAATCAGGCCCATCATGGGTTAATACATTTACTAAGAACAGAATCTGGAATGAAATACGTGTTCAGTGATAATCAGCCATGATTCATCTTTACCGGAGGTGCTTGGATCTGCACTATCCAACATGGCTGCATGTGGCTTGTGGGCACTTGAAATGTAGGTAGAATGAGTGAGGATATGCTGTCAAGTGTGAAATACACGTGGAATTTCAGAGACATTATGAAATAAGATACATAAAATATTAAAAAGTTTTATACAGGGCGCCTGGGTGGCTCAGTCGGTTAAGCATCCTACTCTTGATATCAGCTCAGGTCTTGATCTCAGGGACATGAGTTCAAGCACACTGGGCATGGAGCCTACTTCAAAAAAAAAAAAAAAAAGAAAGAAAGAAAGAAAGAAAGAAAAAGAAAAAAGAAAGAAGTGGAAAGAAAATCACGTTAAATTGGAAATAATTTTTAAAAAAAAGGCACTAGGGGCGCCTGGGTGGCTCAGTCGGTTAAGCGACTGCCTTCGGCTCAGGTCGTGATCCTGGAGTCCCGGGATCGAGTCCCACGTCAGGCTCCCTGCTCAGGAGGGAGTCTGCTTCTCCCTCTGACCCTCCTCCCTCTCGTGCTCTCTGTCTCTCATTCTCTCTCGCAAATAAATAAATAAAATCTTAAAAAAAAAAAGTTTTATACACATGTTGAAATGATAATATTTGGATATATTGGCTTTCTAAGAAAATATATCCGTAAAATTAATTTCATTGTCTCTTTTTAGTTTCTTAATATGGCTGCAAGGACATTTTAAGTGACACATGTGGCTTGCTTATATTCTTGTTGGACAGCCCTGGCCTAATTGCTTCCTTCAACATAACAAGATCAGGGCAGGAAAATCAAATCCTCACTCTAAATGGGGAAGGCTGTTGGCCCTGGCCTCACAAGCAGAAAGGGTGGTACATAAAGACGTAGACATCCTGGCAGAATTGAAAGCAGACTTTCATCAGACAGCCCCGAGTTTGCCCCTCATGACCACGGTGACTTACACTATCAATTGCTTTTTTTATGAATCCTATGAATTTTGTGTGAGCAGTGCAATTATGACATTGATGTGTCTGCTGTAAGTTCAGATGTTTTCAGGGCAAACATCTGTATACATTTCACAGATGTTATTTCTTTTTTTCATATGGTGAGTATCAACATGGGGCAGCGGCCTGGGCCTCCATCCACCTCCGAGAGGCCATCCCAAATCCAAGCTCGATATACATAAACAGATTGAGTTCTTGATGTCTAAGGATACATACATTCTTAATTAATTTTTAAAGTTCCCTTTCTTACGTGTTCTGGAGAATATGTTTGGCTTCAAAAGCAACTTAAAAAAAAAGCGCAAAATGGAGAAGGCCTTGTTTCTGAAGGGAAAGGAGCTCTTGCAAAATTGAGTTCGCTTGTTGCAAGGTCTCCATGTCATTGCTGGGAGGAGGTGGGTGAACCTGCCCCCAGAGACGGGGTGCTCCTTGCAGTGTCCCGAGGGGCAAGAAGCTGCTTTGGCTTCTTGATGTAATCCAGCCCAGATAGAATGCTTTTGAGGAGATTTGGTTCTGGATTTGACTTGGTTTGATTTGGCTTTATTCTCCTTTATCTTGCAGTGAAATATGAAGAGTTATACTGCTTTTCATTCAACCCCAAGCTGGATAAAGAAGAAAGAGAACGGGGCTGGATGCTGATCGATCTCGGTGAAGAGTACAAGCGAATGGGCCTCCCTAATGATTATTGGCAGCTCAGCGATGTGAATAGAGACTACAGAGTGAGTGCGGAGGCATTACTTAATCCAAGGGAACTCATGATTCACATAGCTTAGCATGACCTCTGTTTAATCTCCTTTAGTTTTTACAGCTCTTTGTAGATACAGATATGTGGATTTGCAAGTCTCCCCTGGTTACTGTGAGCTGCATTTCCTACCTGCATCTAGAATCAAAGAGTTTGGCCAAGGGAACCTTAGAGAACCGCCCCCCCCGACACCTTCCCCTAATGGTTAAGGAGATGGAAACCCAGAGAAGCCCAGTGGCGGGCGTCATGGCCAGGCAGTGGGTGGGAGAGCCGGCCAGGGCCAAGTTCTCCCATCAGCTCTTTTTATAGTGCAGCGAGTGATTAGTGGGGAAGTCACAAGGACTCTGATGGCAGTCTGGCACCAGCTCCTCTCTGTACTCACTGAACTCTTGATTGGTACACAAGGTCACCAAGAGGCTTCCCTAGAGAAATGTGGAGAAATGTGTCTACGCTTACAGAAAGGCCTATGGAGAGGAAGGGAAGCAGGAGGGGCAGAATCAATCTCATATTGTCCCTAATGATGGGCTTACAAATCAATGTTGGTTTCCCTATTAATTTTTAAAATATTTTAGGTAATAAAAGCAATGCAAGAATGTTGCAGAGAATTTATAAAAGCAAGAAAAAAGAAAAAATACCCACCATCTCAGTGCCCTAATGTTCGTCTATTAGGTTTTAAAATTTTCCTTCAGTTTCTTTTCTCATCTGCATAGTTTTAATAGCTCTTTTCTTATATAAGCAATGCATTTAATGATTCGAAATTGGAAAGTACAGAGGAAAGGGAACTGTTCCAGTATATATAACAAATATGGAATCATATTACACATGCCTTGTGTTTGCTTTTCTTCACCCATCATACTGTTTTTTCCTAATAAATATATTTTATATCATTTAAAAATGTTCTATAAAATCACATAGTATGGCTATATCCTGTTCTTTCTACCTAATCTCCAATTTTTAGACATGCAGATTATTATTATTTTTTATGATTTTAAATAAACATAGTGAGAACATCCTCATACCTATACTTCTGCCCATGTTCAAATTCTTTTTAAAGACAAATTCCTAAAGGTGAAATTTCTGTGTCAAAAAGTTTACATAAATTTTTGTACATGTTGTCAAAAAGAACTGCAGAAAAGTTGGACCAATTTATATAAATTCTCAGCAGCCGTGTATGAGAATGCCTGATTCTTTGTTCCCTCACTGAGAAAGATGTCAGTTCTTAAAAAGTTTTTTTAACAACTTGATAGTGGGACAAGTGATGTCTCATTTTAATTTAATCTACATGCTTTGATTTCTTGATTTGTAGATTTGTATATGCTGATTGACCATTTATATCTTATCTCCTGTTTATTGACCATTTCTGGTTACATTTTTAAAATTTTTTATTATTGACGTATAGTTGGCATACAATGTTATATTAGTTTCAGGTGCACAACATAGTAATTCAGCTAGTCTATACGTTATGTAATGCCCACCACGGTAAGTATAATCACCACACAATGTTATTACAATATTATTAACTCTATTCCCGTGCTGTACTCTTCATCCCTGTGACTTATTTGTTTTATCACTGGAAGCTTGTACCTCTAACTCCCCTTCACCTCTTTCTCCCACCCTTCTACCTCTCTCCGCTGGCAACCAGTTTGCTCTCTGTGTTTATGAGTCTATTTCTGTTTTTTGTTTGTTTCTTTGATTTCACATAAGTGAAATCACATAAGTGAAATCATATGGTATTTGTCTTTCTCTATATGACATTTTACTTAGCATAATGCCCTCTTAAGTCCATTTATGTCAGAAATGTCAAGATCTCATTCTTTTTTATGGTTGAGTGATATTCCTGTGTGTGTGTGTGTGTGTGTGTGTAATATATATATATATATACCACATTTTCTTTATTCATTTATCTATCAATGGACACAAGTTACTTCCAGATCTTGGCTATTGTAAATAGTGCTGCAATGAACAGAAGGATGCATATATCTTTTCAAATTAGTGCTTTTGTTCTCTTTGGGTAAATACTCAGTAGTAGAATTGCTGGATCATATGGTAGTTCTATTTTGAATTTTTTGAGGGACCTTCATACTGTTTTCCACAGTGGCTACGCCAATATACATTCCCACCAACAGTGCCAAGGGAGTTCCCTTTTTTCCACATCTTGCCAACACTCCTTACTTCTTGTCTTCTTAATACTAACCATACTGACTGGTGTGAGGGGATACCTCATTGTGGTTTTGGTCTTCATTTTCCTGGTGATGAGTTATGTTGAGCATGTTCTCATGTGTCTGCTTGCCATTTGTTGGTCTTCTTTAGAAAAACAGCTTTTCATGTCCTCTGCCCGTTTTTCCCTGGGATTATTTCGATTTTTTGGTGTTGAGTTGTGTAAATTCTTTATATATTAAACCCTTATCAGATATATTACTTGCAAATATCTAAATATCTTCTCCCATTCAGTTTGCTTTGTTGATAGTTTCCCTTGTGCAAAAACTTTTTATTTTGGTGTAGTCCCAATAGTTTGTTATATAAATATAGTAATAATTAACTATATATATATAAAAAGCATGTAATATTTATACAAATGCATCTATTTGCTAGCTAAAGGAATAAAAATAGTACAGTCCTGGTACAAAAATAGACACATAGATCAATGCTATTAAACCTCCTAATGTTCCCTCCAGATCACCTTCTGCTCCAATGTCACTGACTGCCATTTGGTGTTGTCCTTCTCTATTTATAATGTTCCTACATATGTAAGTGGTAAAAATGTATTATTTTGTGTTTTTTTAATATTTTCTATACATGGTGTTATGATGAATGTAGCTTACTGAAACTTGATATTTCACTTAACATTGTATTTATGAGATTCGTTTCATTTTTTTTTTTTTAAAGATTTTATTTATTTATTTGACAGAGAGAGACACAGCAAGAGCAGGAACACAAGCAGGGGGAGTGGGAGAGGGAGAAGCAGGCTCCCCGCAGAGCAGGGAGTCCGATGCGGAACTCGATCCCAGGACCCTGGGATCATGACCTGAGCTGAAGGCAGTTGCTTAACCAACTGAGCCACCCAGGCGCCCGATTCGTTTCATTTTTAGCACACACATCTATAATAGTTACCATGTGCCAGACACTGTTCTAAAAACCTGACAAATGTTAGCAGTCCCATGTGATAGCCATTGTTATCATCCTTGCTTTACAAATGGAGAAACTCAGGCATAAACCGATTAAATAACTGTCTAAGCCATCGAGAAGTGAAGAGACTGTTGAGACCTACAGCTCTCATTCCTTCATTCTTCACTGTGGTATTATACTGCATTTTACAGATAGACCACAGTTTAAAAAAAATTATTCTTATCCTTTTCTCCCTCTCCCTCTCTTTTTGTTTTATCATCACAAAGCTGTTAACTGGCTTACACATGACTCATAGTATATTGGGAGTTTCCATCTAGGAGTAGAATTTCTGAGTTACAGTGTATGTGGATTTTAGCCTTACCAGGTATTGCCAGGTTCTTTTCCAAAGTGTATGCATGGACTTATAGACTTAATAGCAAGATATACAAGTTCTCCCTACTCCACAGACTCACTGACAGTTGGTACTGCCTTTGTTTGGTGATAGACCTACTCATTGACCCAGCAATCTTACTTTTGGGAATTTATTCTAAAGAGTCAACATCATACACACACACAGTATGTGTAAGGTGACTTATTGAAGCATTGTTTGTAACAGCATATATTAGAAGAAACCCAAATTTCTTAATAGAGGATGAGTTAAATAAGTTTTGCTCTCTCCATATAATTAAATTAATGTGTAACCATTAAAAAATATGGAAGATTTCTGTCTACTGATAAGGAAATTTGTTATTTGCTATTTGTTATTTTTTATCCTTTTTTCTATAAGGTTGTCTTTTTTTATTGATTTGTAGAAGTTCTTTACATATTCTAGCTAATAGTGTGTTACCATGTAAAGCTGTTGCAAATCTCTCTTCTTCGGAGACGTTTAAATATTGCCCCTGGAGAATCTTTGGATCCTCAGAAGTTTTGAGTTGTTAGTGTTTCCTGTTTTGTTCCATGTTTTAGCATATTGTTTTTTTTTTTTTTTTTGATCCTGGCCTACTTATGAACTCTGTCCCAATTTTACACTATATAATTTCCATAGTTACATTTGTACCAATTATGGTTAGTATGGTTTTATAATAAGACTTGATATTGTATAGGTCAGTTCCTTCCACATCATTCTTCTGATATCTTGAATTTATAGATTATTTGGGGTAGAATGGACATGTTCATGAATTTTCTTCATAATTACACTTAAATCTAACAACCATAATTCTACTCTGTGAGTAGACATTTGGGGCTTCTTTGTTTCACTTATTATGAAGTATGTGGCAATGAATTTTTAGCCTTGAAATGAAAGGGAGGAAAATCCAAGTTTACAAAAGAAAATTGGATACATTTTTAAATTTTTAAAAAATATAACACGCCCTTGAGTCAGGAAGAAAATGAATCTAAGCTACATCTTGTAGAATAATATTTTCTTGGAAACACAGGTTCTTCCTATTTTCGATGAGATTTCCTTCTCGAATTAGCGCCACAAACATGACTCATATTTAGTCACTTAAGTCCTACATGTAGAGACTACAAAACATGAGTTACTCAGCATTTCTTTTCCAAAGTAACACACAGCAAACCAAAACTAACAACCAACAAACTGTGTTGAAATAGAAGAGGTGAAAACTTAGGGGATTTTCTGATTTTACTAATACCATTGAAATGGGGAGAAAGGATTATGTACCCTTATTTATTACCAACTTAGACCTATAATAAAAGTTGATTTTCTCAAAAACTTTCTAATAGTCCATTGAGAAAGTTATGATGTCATCCATTACTTTTGCTTTTCATCTCGTGGTTGAGAAAATGTTTACTTTTTCCTCCCTTCTTTTATAAGAGTTATTTTTTCTTCTTTTTTTAGAGAAGGGGGGGAAG